TTTAATAATTAATCCTTATTGGTTTATTTATCAAGGAAAAGCAACGGATCCTTTTAACAAACAAAGAAAACTGATAGGTACTTAAAATAACCACTATATCACGTCGTCTACCGTTTACTCACTAAATCTTTCCCGCATAAAATTTATCAGTTCATCCAATTAGATTAGCGGTCACTGTTGACCTCCTCTAAAATGATGACGCATTCCAATTTTTAGCTGTTTGGTTGCTTTCTTTCTTAGAATTTATTTAATAAATTTGTCACGTACATCGTAACTGGGTAGTCAATAGATATCGTCTGCCATCTTCGATTTTTCGTTCGAATTATACATTTTCAGTAAAAAAAAAAAAACATTTAAATGCTTGTTTTGTATTAAAAAAAATTTTAAGTTTGGATAACAAAGTGTTACCCAAAGAGTTTAATTTGCGTTATTTCATAAAAAAAATTATGATGTTTAAAGATAGAAAAAGAACGCTGATTGGAGCAAATGATACTAAATGTTTACTTTTGAAAAAGTTTGTGATTTAAATTTTTTATTTTTCCTGTTGTTCAAAAATAAAATTTCTATAAAAACAATTTTTTATGAAGATTGATAAGATAATAATTTTATTTTTGTCACACTTAAAACAAAAAACGTGAGGGAATTTTAAAACGATGATAAAAGTATATTGCTTCGTGTTTCTCAAGTTAATCATTTTAGGTGTGGCAAATATTTACTTTTCTTAAAGAAAAAATTGTTTTGTTGTTTACTTTTGGAAAAATGTTTGTAAAAAATGTTTACTTTTGAAAAAGTTTGTGATTTAAATTTTTTATTTTTCCTGTTGGTCAAAAATAAAATTTCTATAAAAACAATTTTTTATGAAGACTGATAAGAAAATAATTTTATTTTTGTCACACTTAAAACAAAAAACGTGAGGGAATTTTAAAACGATGATAAAAGTATATTGCTTCGTGTTTCTCAAGTTAATAATTTTAGGTGTGGCAAATATTTACTTTTCTTGAAAGAAAAAATTAAAGATAGAATTCTTCTCGTAAAGTGATGTAAATTTCGATTAGAGGTCAATTCTGTTGCAAGTGTCTAAAACATTAAAACCGAAAAGAAAACTTTATTTTTCGACGATTTTACTACGACGCATTTTTGGTTGACCAAAAATCAAAGCAAATCGGTCGAATAGTTTCCGAGAAATTACGATTTAAAATTAATAATAATAATAAATGTTTTGCTTTGAATTTTAATTCCTCAAGAATTATTCAACCAATTTACATTTTTCGACCCAAAAATACTTAAATTAACATAATGCAAAATGTTTTATACCTATTTCTAATTCAAAAACTTTTCAATCATTATTAAAAAATAAACCGTTGGAATTTAAAAGAAATTGTCAATCTTATATTAAAATCACAGTGCATCAGAGAACAATTTATATAGTTTTATTGCTCAAAGTGTAAAATGGAAAAAGATACAGTGAATTTCTGCATTTACATGCATATGCATGAAATAAGGTTCAGCTATTTAAAACAATAATAATTAATTTACTCATGCTAAGAAATTTTGAAATTTATTTCGTTACATTTTCCATATCCCCAACACAATAAATTTATTAGATATATTTTTCTCACTCTCTCTTCTGATTCACTAATTTAAATGTTAATTTAAATTATTGAATTATTAATTTAAATGTTAAAATCGAACCTTCAAGAAAATACCTTGATATTCTAATTTCATCATTTAATTAACTGAAAACTAGGGACACGATTAAAAAAAAACTCACATGTAACAGAAACTATATTAGTTTCTAGACCATTGCAAAATGGTCAAATTTTTATTTCTTGTTACATTTTGAAATAAGAAAAATAATGGTGGATCTGCCTGTGTTACATGGAGAGGAAAACCACAAAATCCTCCCACGGTTAACCAAACGGCAATAAGATTTAACCCATGATCCGTCTACCCTTGAGGATATTTTACGCCAATACTGGGGTCAGTGCAAGCCAGTTGCAGAATTCATATTAATCAGCACCACTAGGATTCGAACCTGGGTCACCTCATTGGGGTCTGAATTCTCTATCCCCTGAGTCACTGTGGCTGAGGCATTAAGACATGTTGTAAATAAAGTAAAAATTTTGACTTTTGCCTATTTATGCATATAACATTATTATCTGAGAAAGTAAGATATTTTTGTGTAAAAAAAGTACAGCTTTGTACTTATAACTAAAAACCTGTCAGACATAATTAAATAGTTAAGTAATGGAGTGTTTATGTATCATCTGATACTATAAACATGAAGGAAAAAAAATTCAAAAATATGTTTATTTTATATATATATAGAGAGAGAGAGATAGAGAGAGAGATAGAGAGAGAGAGATAGATAGATAGATAGATAGATAGATAGATAGATAGATAGATAGAGATAGAAATAGAGAGAGAGATAATAGTGTTCTAAATCATGTGTATATATATATACACATGATTTAGAAATCATGTGACATGTAAACCTCTTATAATTTAAAATATATTTATATGTGCACTAGAAATAAAACATTCGGAAAATAACCTTACAAAACCTGTCTTTTGGAAGTAAATTGTAATGAAACTATGATATGAAAAACAGTATGAGGGATATATGGATTTTGCTAATACAAAGTTAGCAGAGATGAAATAAAGGTATGATAAATTTTTTATCCCTCAGACTCAACATATAATCTTAAAACCTAATTAGCTGGAATTCACTAAAACTTCAGCAACTTCACCCACTTTTCTATTCCTTTAAAAATTTATCTCCTTGCTCAAATACAGTGAAAGAAAAATCATAACACTAGCAGTAACTGAGATTTGCATATTTAAAAAACACTTCATGAAACATTTGCTTTAAATTATGGATGATAACATAATTTTGAAGAAAAAAAATAGATTTAAAAATATTATAACATAAGATATTTTCAATTTCATGTAATTAAAAAACTGTTTTAGGCAATATGTCCATAGTAATATTGATTTTATGTGGCAAGTAATATTGATTTTTTCCCCACCCACATTATGATTCAAAATCAATTATGAGAAAAACTAGTTGATTCTATTAAGAAAATTAAAGTAACAATAGGACCAAGTATTTTTGATAATGGTTCCTCATTCTTCCTGGCCTGGATGAGAGGATTTTCTTTTTCTGTAAAACAAGTTAAGCTGTTTTGAAACTATATGCCTTGCTTAGAAAGAATAAAAATAGTTCAAATAAAACTATATTAAACAAAAAAAATATTTACTTTTAGTAAAGCAATACAAAATGAATGGAAACAAAAAATATTAAAGTTTAAGTAAAGTAACATTTGACTATACATTTAATTTTAAATGCTTAAAATTTGTTTTATGAAATTACTCTTCTGTTTGATTCATCTCTTCACAGAAATTAATGTTTGTTGTTTCTCAGATACTTGGACAAGTCCAGCCTTCCAACCATTGGCTGTTGCGAATTAAGTCAGGAAGATTCGCCTTTTGTTCAATAAGAGAGCACGTATGCACGTCAATAAGAGAGTGAAAGTATGTCTTAGCTCAGAACCCCATGGATCGATGGCACCACAACACATTCATGAGGCCACTTCCTAAATTTAAACACAGATCTGAAGGGGAAGGAAATTTTTTATAGATCTCTCTATCCATTGAACTGCTCAGCAACCTTTTACAAAACTTTTGATTCGACAGATTTTATGAGCACAGATATTCCATGTACTTGCTCAGTCTTAGCGAACTTAAGAATTGAATTCTGGCCTTACTTGGCCCTCTAACTACTGGGCTACCATGGCACAGAAATTACTTATTAGATGGAAAAAAATCTATTCCAAAAATTTTCATGCAACATTGACAGAAATAACTCAAAAAGCCATTTATTTTTTAATTTCTTTAAATAGTTTTTTTTTTTTTTTTTTTTTTTTAAATCAATGTAAATGTAACGTTAGCAAAGTTTAAGAAAATCTTTTCAAGTACAATTTTAATTGTACTTGAAAATTATAATTAAATTGTATACACTTTGGTAAAAAATACTCAAGAATTTTTTTAAAATAAATATAGAAAAAAATTATGCGACAATGAGTTTTAATTATGTGACTAAATATTCCTTCACAGGTCACATCTCTTTGAAGAATGATTAATACTGCCAGCTCTAATTTAACCACCATACTGTAGGTATTACTTCTTCAGTATTGACTTTACATCTTTTTATATTGATTCTATCAACAACAAAAAAAAACTTCTGTACAAAAATATCTTCATACTATAAAGCACAAAACTGAGTATCTAGAATATCAAAAAGTGAACTTAGTCCTCTTTTTCCTAAAACTTTTAAAAACAAAGAAAAAGTATTAAAAAAAATTTTCTTTTAAAAAGTTCTGGAAAAAGAGAAACAATTGAAACATACATTTTGTTAACACAGTGCTTTGTATATGCTTAGTTAAAAGCATTATTTGACTTTTCTTTTTTGATCTATCAGGTATTTCTGTCCTTAAAAGGAATTAATTATAAATTAAATACATTTGAGCTACAAAATTGCTGACATAGAAAAGTTTAAGAAAGTATGCAAACAGTGCACTTAACCTCAGATTCATACACTTCTTAAGAAAAAGGCTGGAGAAAATAATAAGGTGGTCTGATTTGGACACTAAAGCCTGAGACTCAGACCTAAAACCTGAGAGTTTGCAGGTTTGCTTTAAACACTACTTTTTTCACTGAATACCATAATGAAAAATTAGTTTAATTCACAAAATCATCCGTTAATTTAATCAGACATTGGTTTAATAAAAATCAAGCTCTACACTGACGTTATTTCAATTTTATAAAAATGTGTACAAAAAAGTGACTTAGATTAAAATTTAACTGAGTTTACGAAAAAATAATTATAAACAAATATACACATTATTTAATTTGTATTTTATTTTAATAATGATTAACAAATATTAGAAAAGCTTGCAAGATTTAAAAAAAATATATTTAAAAATAGATAACAAGACAGCATATTTTTAAACAAAATTATAAAAATAAATTGCAAATACAAAAATTTTTTATAAAATATATATTCAATGTGCAAGATTTTTCCACAAGATAATCTCTCAAAAACAGCAAAACTCTGACCGGGCAGTTAATTTTTTCACCTAAAGGGAAAAATAAGAAATATAATAATATAATTTTTTAAAAATAGTGAATTATTGAAGGAAGGAATTATTAGTTAAATTTTACTATGGTTTAAAGTAGAGGAAAATAAAAATTCATTAATATTTGATATGGTTAAAAAAAAAATTCAGAAATTTGAAAACATCTAACTATAACATCTGTTAGGGTCTAAAAATAATTGTATCTTAACTTAACAAATGAAATTAATTCCTTCATAGAGAAACATTCAATTCAAGTACTCTACAGATTTTTGATGATTGATGAGGTATATACATTATATTTTATCCATAAAAATTCTTTAACTATAATTTGCTTATTCAACATTTTGCAAACCAATAAAACATAAATGAAGAATAAATTCTTTTTTTAAAAAAAAGGGCAAAATGTTTCTTTGAAGTAATAATGTAACAACAAAAAATAAGCAGAAATTTGAAATTATTTATTTCATAAAATGTCTGAAAATAATTGAATATGTAATAAATATGCTCAGAAATTTAAAAGCATCAAATTATAAAATTTTAGGATCTGAAAATAACTGTATTTTAACAAATGAGATTTTTATTATTCAGACATTAAAATTGTATTATTGCTAGATTAAATAAGTTAAAAAATAAAAATTTTATTAACAATAAAATAAAAATTTTAAATTTTATTAATATTAAAATTTAAAAAAATTTATTTTTAGATATACTCAACTTGTCATTAAAAATGCTACCTTTCTCAATTATAACAAATATAATTATATAATAATCAAAATATATAAACATATATAACAGTAATATAAAACAAAATATATAACAAAATATATATGATAGTCAAAATATACAATAATAAAAGTATGATAATCACAGTGTAAAGAAAGATAAACTTTCATTAATCACTAGTAAAATAGAACATGTAGGAAGAATCAGATAGAGCTGCTGATTAATATATTTATTTAGAACATAAAACTTATTTATACAAATAAAGATTTTGAGCAAACTCTAATATTTTAAAGACATTTAAAAAATATTAAGAGCAATTTAGAGTTAAATAGGCTCTATAAAAAGATAAAATACATATTATAAAAACAAAAATAATACAAAAGCTGAGACATCTGGAGTGAATGAGTGATAAAAGAGCAACAAAGAAAATAAATAGAAGAAGAGTAGGGAGAAAGAGAAAGGTTCAGCATCCCCGAAAAAGAAAGCTAGATAAGATGAGAGAAATTTTAAAAAAGATCAAAATCGAAAAATAAAGGTCAAGGATAGGAAAAAGTGGACCAGCTGCGTGGTAAAATAGACCAAGGTCCTTCAAGTAATGTAGAGCCAAGGGGTAAGTAAAAAATATTTTTAAAAACACATTGGATACACAAAAATAATTATTTATTCTATTTGAAAAAACTTAAATCTATATTTTTACAATTTAAATAAAAGTGGTTAGTAAAACATGAGAAAATTAAAAAATATCATGATAAAAAATAGTTAATTTAATTTATGTTAAATATTAAAACACATATGTTCATGTACTGTTAGGACAAAGGATAAGCAACTAAATATTTTGAAAAGAAATTTATTTAACAGACAGTTAGAAGTTAAAGTACATGTTTATTTTATTGCCATCTCTGCGATTTTTTCCCAGTAAAGCTGTAGATTTTCTTTAATAATTTCCTTAATGAGGTAAATTTTAAGGCTTACTATTCTATTTTTTAATTAAACTTGATTAACAATGATTTTTACCACTATATGTATCTGTGAATCAGGCAGTGAAGGTTTTAAGTACTGGCAAAATTAAACAAATAAATTTATATTAATATCCTTATATTTTGGGGGTCAGAAATCCGAATTCCTCAAAAAAAGTGTGTTTATTCAGAAAAAGTTCTTTTGCTTGTCTGATTTCATAGCTTAAAATATCGTCTGAACTAATTTGAGATAACTCCCTTGAACCATTGAGGCTTAGATAGTGAAGATCCGACCATTAGGTCAAAAGTTATTCAGGGTAGTCCATTTTTTGGCGCACTGTACATCCTTAATAGCTTAACAAAACCATATTTTAAACTTTATCGATCAATTGCTTAATAACTGGGTTTTGCTCCTGACACTTACAGACTAATAACCTATTTATAGCTATCAGTCATAAATAAATATAGTTTTGCATTAATGACAAAAATTAAACATTTTGTTAAATCTCATTATCCTATAATAACAGAAAGAGGGCAATTTTATTTAAACATAGAATATGCCTAGATATTTCCCCATGGAAGTATAAAATGAAACAGAGCTGACACCAGAACATAAGTATCCTGTTGAAAAGACAATAAAATGTTAAGTGATGTAGTGAAATTAAAATAACTTACCTTTGCATAAGTACAAAACATTCCTAGTAATACGCTGTACCAAAACTGAGTCCTTTTGTATTATCTTTAATAAGTAACTCTTTATCAAAATCTTTTGAACTAACAGGAACAAATTTTTGAATTTGAAACTCTTGTAATTTGCGTCTGCCTTCAGCATCATTGTGCATGTGCGTTAGAGATTTTACTATATCATTTTTTACTGAATCTGCAAGATTAAAAGAAAAGGATTAATAAGTCGAAAAATTTTAAAACATCAGAAATTCTGATTAATTTTTTATTAGCCTAGCCAAACAGAAAACAAAAAAGCATACACATCAGTGGTCCTATAAGTAAAGTTAAGCAAGGAAAAAACAATAACGCTATAAAAATCTGACTAATTGCATTGAAAAGATTTAGCATACAAAACTTAAAATCTTGTTTGATTGCTGGTCGAAAATTGAAAAAGTTTTCAATAAACTTCTTTCAACTCCTTTCTGTTTCTTCCAGCAATCAAAAAGGCTTTGATGCTTTGCACACTCACATTATTCAAGACTGATTAGACAGATTTTAATAATGTTTTTTTTTTGTTTCTCCCTTAAAAACTAATTTATAATCTCCAATATGAGTGCTTTTCTCTCTTCATTTTGATAAGGACTCTAAAAGTAAATATAAAAGGCTATCATTACAGAACATTATGTGTTTATGTATCATTAATTTGCTGTGTGAAAAATAAAAAAATACAATTTTCTTTTAAAAAATGCCTTTAAAAAAATAAACTTTGCGTCTAAGTTACCTAACAGCCATTAACCTTCAGCCAACAAAAATTATCTGAAGATTTACAAGATAAAGATAAAATTGTCTAGATGTATCATTAAAAAATTTGCGTGCTTACAAAATCAAATTTTAAAAAAGTAGTATTTTTTAAATTTCATGTCTCAGAAGCTATTTGATTGATTTGTCTCAAATTTCGCATTTTGCAATGTAAAATTACTTTAAAATGATGTAAAAAAATCCCTTACAATTCAAAATTTGTTTAACTATCATTAAACAAAATAATAAATACTTACTAATTTTTTTTCGCCTTGAATTATCTTTGGATTAATTTTGAAATTGAGTAAAAAATTTCAATTTGCCTAAAAGTTCTTGGGATATGGCGAAATACGCAAAAAGTAAAATTACATTAACTTGGATGGCTAACCTGACCAAATTATTAGGACCATATTTCCCAAATTGCAACTATTTTGGAAGTCAGAAATCAGAATCCATCGGCATTCCTTCAGAAAAACTATGTTTTTGTGTTTAAATTTGTATCTTAAATTATTGTCTGCACTTATTAACTAGCAGATGTGAGGTCACCCTCTCAAACTATTACGATTGAGTCCTATGTGTCAAGTTCCAATCATTAGATCAAAAGTTATTCAAGGTTGTCCTCTTTTTTTTGCACACTGTACTCCTAATGCCACAACAGGCACACATAACTGCTTCAGTGATGGACATTGATCGCGATATGCTATTGAATATATGAATGGAACTAGTATACTATTTTAGATCAACTTTTGACCAATGTATTTTGACCATTTTAGACCACAGAAAGATGACATTTTTAGTAAATATCAGAAACATATGAAACTTCTCTTGTAATCATTGTAATCCAATCTCTTGTAATCATTGTAATCCATCTTGTAATCCCACCCATCATTGTAAACTATATAATTGTAAAAATACAATACTTTGAAACTGGATGAATCATTTAGACCAGTGTTCCTCAACCTTTTTATCACCGCGAACCTGTCAACGTTTCATAATTTCACCACGGCCCTCTGGGGGGGGGGGAGAGTTATTGCTTATATTTTAGATTATTTTGATTTATTAATTTTAATTTAATTGTATTTAAACATGCCTCCAAAATAAAACACAGTTACACCAAAAAATAAACATCAAGTGATTTAACATTTTAACTTACTAGAACATTAAATTTATGAGAACCCTGAGCTTGTTTCTTTGCAATGAGACGGTTCTATCTGGGGGTAATCGGAGACAATGATACATTACAAACATAAAAAAAATTATGTCACTACCTTCGGGGGCCCTTTTTTTAAATAAATAAAATTTTAATGGAACACAAATATTTAAATTTGGAGTACAAACCTAGGAAATTAAATTCAGTTTCAATGAAATGTGCAGCCCGGTACCAATTGATCCACAAACACTGGGGAACACTGATTTAGACCAACCCAGTATTATGAAATATGAGTATTTCCCAGCATTCATTTTAAATTAATACATAGCAAAATTATTACCAGCAAAGTAAAACAAAAATATAAAAATAGTATACATACTATCTAACTTAGAGTTTACCACAAGAGGATATGGAGGCAATGGACCCCACGTTGTAAGAACAACAACTTCTTCGGCCAAGTGAGGATTACTGTCCAAAAAGTAAGCAAGACAATTTGCATCAACTGCAGCAGCATCCACTTTTTTCATTGTTACCATTTTAATAGAATTCAGGTGGGAACCTAATACAATAATAAATTCACAAATTATAAAAATTTGCTATTTGAGGATTATGCTATTAATTAAACTTTTTTAATTACTTTCCTTATATATTACCTACAAACTATCAACAATATCTTTTTTTTATAAACCTGTTAAAAACCCATATCAAAAACTAACTTAGTAACATTGAAAACTGAGGTAATTTATTTATTTCGTTATTGTTTAGTGCAAGCAAACTTAACTTATTTAAAATATATGCCTCAATATAGGAAAATGTGGCAATATAGAAATATAGGAAACGAAGCTTAGTTCCCTGCATTTTGGTACTTAATTATGTGTTAAATATTGCATCAAAATATTTACTCGAAATTTACTAACTAAACTTCCAAAGTGTTTTTAAGTAATTTTTTTTTATGAAAACTAACTCAAATACAGATTTCAATTTTTTTCCAGACAGTTATTTAAAAAAAAAATTTTTATAACATCTGAGTTTTTAGCCCCATAAAACCAAAAACTTTTAATCTGCTAAGTTTAAAAGCAAGTGTGTTTTGAAAAATAGAAAAAATAAAAAAATTTAAACAATGTCAAAAATAGAAAAAACAGAAAAATGTGTTTTTAAAATGAAAAAGAGAGTACTGCTATTATAATGTTTTAAAGATTTCGAAAAAAAAAATAATAGAGATTTAATACACCAACTTTCGATATTTTTAGACTACTTTGATCAAAAAGTACTTAATTTTGACAAACAAGGTGGGTTTGAGGCGGAACCATTGTCAAAAAATTAATACTCAAATTTGTATATCTCATGCCGTAATAACATTGTATAAAAATATCCGAATGTGGATGGCCACATAAAAATGAAAATAAACTGCCAAGAAATAACTGCTCCATTATAATAATAAAATAACCACTAAAATAACAGCAAAGAAAACGACCTTGAAACGACGTGAATTTATGACGGGATTGCAGAGAATCATAGTCATTAAGAATTGATCACTCAAATTTAAACTTCGAGTGTCGCAATATTATTGTATTAAAAATACCAAGTTTAAAAAATCATGTAGAGATTGCCAAAAAAACGATAAATAACTATTAAAAAAATCATAAGAAAAAGATGAGGATTAACAATGGAATCGTCGTTAATCGAGGGCATCAAGAAGTGATAACTAATTTTAACTCCATACGTCATAATAAATATCATAAAAATACCATAATTTGAAAAATCACATGAAAAAAAAGATGAAAACAATTGAAAATATAAACTGTTAGATGTTACCAGCAATTTTTGCTACAGTGTTTTTCTGTAACTAGCATTTGATCTTTATAAATAGCAATTTGCTACTTGCAAGTTGACAAAATCTTGCCCTGAACAGGTGCATACATAAATAAATCAAACTATNAATCATTAGATCAAAAGTTATTCAAGGTTGTCCTCTTTTTTTTTGCACACTGTACTCCTATGCCACAACAGGCACACATAACTGCTTCAGTGATGGACATTGATAGCGATATGCTATTGAATATATGGATGGAACTAGTATACTATTTTAGATCAACTTTTGACTAATGTATTTTGACCATTTTAGACCAACGTAAGACCACATTTTTAGTAAATATCAGAAACATATGAAACTTCTCTTGTACCCACCCATCATTGTAAACTATATACTTGTAAAAATACAATACTTTGAAACTGGATGAATCATTTAGACCAGTGTTCCCCAACCTTTTTATCACCGCGAACCTGTCAACGTTTGAGAATTTTACCGCGGCCCTCTGGGGGGAGGGACATTGATTGCTTATATTTTAAATAATTTTGATTTATTAATTTTAATTTAATTGTATTTAAACATGCCTTCAAAATAAAACACAGTTACACCAAAAAATAAACATTAAGTGATTTAACATTTTAACTTACTAGAATGTTAAATTTATGAGAACCATGAGCTTGTTTCTTTGCAATGAGACGGTTCTATCTGGGGGTAATCGGAGACAATGATACATTACAAACATTAAAAAAATTATGTCACTACCTTCGGGGGGCCCTTTTTTTAAATAAATAAAACTTTAATGGAACACAGATATTTTAATTTGGAGTATAAACCTAGGAATTTAAATTCAGTTTCAATGCAATGTGCAGCCCGATACCATTTGATCCACAAACACAGGGGAACATTGGTTTAGACCAACCCAGTATCATGAAATATGAGTATTTTCCAGCATACATTTTAAGTTAATACATAGCAAAATTATTACCAGCAAAGTAAAACAAAAATAAAAAAAAAATTTAAAAAATAGTATACATACTATCTAACTTAGAGTTTACCACAAGAGGGTATGGAGGCAATGGACCCCACGTTGTAAGAACAACAACTTCTTTGGCCAAGTGAGGATTACTGTCCAAAAAGTAAGCAAGACAATTTGCATCAACTGCAGCAGCATCCACTTTTTTCATTGTTACCATTTTAATAGAATTCAGGTGGGAACCTAATACAATAATAAATGCACAAATTATAAAATTTTCCTATTTGAGGATTATGCTATTAATTAAACTTTTTTAATTACTTTCCTTATATATTATCTACAAATTATCAACAATATCTTTTTTTTTATAAACCTGTTAAAAACCCATATCAAAAGCTAACTAATTCTTAGTAACACTGAAAACTGAGCTAATTTATTTATTTCGTTATTGTTTAGTGCAAGCAAACTCAACTTATTAAAAATATATGCCTCAATATAGAAAAATATGGCAATATAGAAATACAGGAAACAAAGCTTAGTTCCCTGCATTTTGGTACTTAATTATATGTTAAATATTGCATCAAAATATTTACTCGAAATTTACTAACTGAACTTCCAAAGTGTTTTTAAATATTTTTTTTTATGAAAACTAACAATTAAAATACAGATTTCAATTTTTTTCCAGACAATTATTTCTAAAAAAATTGTCGAGTTTTCAGCCTCATAAAACCAAAAAATTTTAATCTGCTAAGTTGAAAAGCAAGTGTATTTCAAAAAATAGAAAAAATAAAAAAACTAAAACAATGTCAAAAATAAAAAAAACAGAAAAATGCGTTCTTAAAATGAAAAAGAGAGTACTGCTATTATAATGCTTTGAAGATTTTTTAATAAAAATGATAATAGAAATTTCATACACCAACTTTTGATATTTTTAGACCACTTTGATCAAAAAGTACTTAATTTTGACAAACAAGGTGGGTTTGAGATGGAACCATCGTCAAAAAATTAATACTAAAATTTGTAAATCTCATGTCGTAATAACATTGTATAAAAATATCCGAATGTGGATGGCTACGTAAAAATGAAAATAAACTGCCAAGAAATAACTGCTCCATTATAATAATAAAATAACCACTAAAATAACAACAAAGAAAACGACTTTGAAACAACGTGAATTAATGATGGGATAGCAGAGAATCATAGTTATTAAGAATTGATCACTCAAATTTAAACTTCGAGTGTCGCAATATTATCGTATTAAAAATACCAAGTTTAAAAAATCATGTAGAGATCGTCAAAAAAACGATAAATAACTATTGAAAAAATTATAGGAAAAAGATGAGGATTAACAATGGAATCGTCGTTAATCGAGGGCATCAAGAAGTGATAACTAATTTTAACTCCATGCGTCATAATAAATATCATAATTTGAAAAATCACATGAAAAACTATTGAAAATATAAACTGTTAGATGTTACCAGCAATTTTTGCTACAGTGTTTTTCTGTAACTAGCATTTGGTCTTTTTAAATAGCAATTTGCTACTTGCAAGTTGACAAAATCTTGCCCTGAACAGGTGCATACATAAATAAATCAAACTATATATATACAAACTATATATACAAACTATATATACGTAAAAACATGAATATAAATATCAAAACATCAACAGGAATATCAATATAAAAATAAATGTAAATTACCTCCAGCTATACCATGGAAATAATTTAATCAATAAACTTAAAATATTAAATAATAATTATTTTAGAAACAAATAATAAAAATACCTGAACATAAAATGTTTCCAAAAAAGGAAGCATTTTCACCAAGCTCCTTTAAGTTTGAAAGAGTAATAGTATGACCACTCAGAGATTCATTATTACTGTAAGCCCATTTGCAACCACGGAGATCAATAAAATCCTTTACTTTTTCACTAAAATTCAATGAAATATAAATTAAAGAGACAACTGGTTTGAAGATAAAGTAAATTAAACAACTTCATGAGCATAATACTGTCAGTGATAAAATAAATCAAATAATAAGATAAATTTAATTTAAAAAAATTTAATAAGTTAACCTTAAATAGATTAAATCCTGTTTCCCTCTTCACTATGATTCAATGAAATACAAATTAACCAAATAAATAGTTTGAAAGACATGTAAATTTAACATCTAAAAGACCATAATGCTACCAAATAAGTAATAAATTGTTACTAATTATTTTATAATGATATAAAGGATAATAAGTTACTTAATAATAATGTTTCTTAAGAAGTTCATAGTAATAAAAAACGGGAAATTAACACTAATAAAAAAGTAATTATAAAAAAATTAGTTGAAACCTACAAACAACTACTTAGCAATGAGGGAATATTAAAATTACATGCATCTTTAGATATGAATTATTTCATATTTTTCAAAAGATTTATAAGAAATTAAATTTTATTAAGACAAATTATTTTTTACTCAGAATAGAAAATGAGAATTATATCTATATATTTTTTAAGAGTATAAAATATAATTCTAAGAAGTTGATACATAAAACAGCAATTTTCCCTTTTATTTCAGTTTTGCATTCAAAAGATGAAATATTGAAAATCATATGCACAAAAGAGTTTCATTTAAAATATCTTAACCTGAGGGATAATCAATCAAAATGATTCTTAAAATGGTGATGCAAATACTGTAAATTGAATAACATTACTTCAATTTAGAACTAATATGTGGTTTTATTTGTTCCTTAAGCAATTACCACCTCCTAATTGGACATGTCATACATTCTTAATCCCATTAAAGTGACAATTCAACTTTTAACTTGTATTAGCTAATTCAACTTTCAGCTAATATTAAAAATAATCCAACAAAATCTTAAAAATCTTCATAACTTATGGATATTATAAAGCAAGGCTAATGAGACTGGTGTGATAAACACTAACATGTAATATAATTAGAATAAAATAGCTAAGTTTTGTTTATTCTGCAAATCACAGCAATACAAAAAATAAAAAAGAAAAGAAATGCAATGAACTATAGAGAAATGAAACAACATAATTCATTAATTAAAACTTCTTAATTAAACAAAATAATTATAAGTATATTACTTTATATGAAGATCTTATTTAAAAAGTGATCCAAATCCAGTTTTATTCATTTTAAGTGCCTTAAAAGCTAATGAATACATTGTTTTTTATCATGTCTAAGTTTTGGTAGTAAGTTACAGATGTACTAGTTTTAAAACATGATAGAAATTACTTGTATGAACATGAAATTAAGGTCAAATGAATGTGTCCCCCTGTTACTCCATAGTTCTCAAGGGTGGAATTGTTATTTTCTTTTTCGCCATAAACTAATAGTCATTTTTACATCGGGTTACTTAGGCATATTAGGAACTTACGTCATTAATACATTAGAGAACTTAAAATTTAAACAACATTCAATTTTGAGCATTTGTTTGAAAAGGTTTTTACATGCAACTATACATGCAAAAATTTAAATAATGCAAGCAACCACCTTTAGGTAAAATTCAACTTTTTATCTTCCATTCCACTGCAATTTGAATTGCTGATACTTTCTCAGTCTGCATGGCAGTTGATAGGAAACAACTCTCTTTTCTGTTGCAAATGATTAAATATGAAGAATTTATTTTTTATCCTATTACAAATAAAATAAATGGGTTATAATATAGATTTGTTTTAGTCTGTATTATCTTCGACCTTAATTTAATTAGAAAAAATCTTCCCTATTTAATAATCAACAATGTGGAGAAAAAAAATTTTATTAAATATATAAGTTTTAATGTTTTTAAATATAGTGTTATAGGAAGAGCTTTGTTCTAAAATGTTGATTACTTTAGTTTTTTTAAGAGACAGTGGCGATAGCAAAACTCTTAGGTAAAATATCTCTCCCAATAATTTACCACCTTTTGAGAATATTGTCTCTTTTTACAGGAACTAATTTGAGCAGCAGTTTCGTTCAGTAAAGGTACATTTATTTTTGGGTTGGCACAATAGCAATTTCTGGGATGGGTGCAATAGCAATAGTGTCATTCAACTGCTCCAAACTATCCAGGCAACCTTTACCATAAAAAAACATTTGTGTATGGTAAACTGAGCAAATATATAGAGAGCGCTAACCCTTAATCTTTAAAAAAGAAGAAGAAAAAAAAGAAGAAGAAAAACATCAATGTAGGATATGTAAATTCAGAAACAAATCTTTCTAATTCCTCATAAGTAAAAACATAATTCCATAGCAATTGTAACTGCCACAGAACTAAAAACTAAATTAGAAAAAGTATTGTGAACAAATCACCCTGCTATTGGTCAAAATTTGATGCAACATATAGCAATATGAATTTTATAGAACCAACTTATCAGTGTAATAAACACTCCATTTTAAAGAAATAGAAGCGGTCAAAAATAAGAAGAAAAACTAATGTTATAAATAAAACTCCCGAGATTCAAGGATCATGAAAATTTAAAACACATTTGTTTTAGGTTAATTTTTAATTGCAAGTAAATAAAAATTCAATAGATGAATAATGAATGAGCAGTTTATCAATATCTTAACTGCTAAAATACAAAATGAGGTAAATTAGAAATCGTATATCAATGGTAGGGGTTTATTGTTTTGTTTAAAGGAAGAAAAAAACAACAATTTAAATGCTGAAAAAATGAAAATTGAAACTAAGAGTACATTGAGCATCCTGATCTTATAACATTTATTCCTCTAAACTATTTCATTCAAATACTGTCACACTTAATCTTAATGCAAAACATAATATTGTAAATTTCTTTATAACTGTTAAGTTGATGGAATTAATTTGTATATAAAATTTAATTATACAATTGAATTATTAGTTAAGCAGATAGTTAAACAATACTATAAATTCATTTCTTTAATTTATTTGCTTGAATAGTCACATAAAAGCATTTAGATTTCCATGTACCTATAGAAACTTTTAATAAGTTAAATGCATTTTAAATAGGTGAGGGAGAAAGAAAAAAAATTTTAAAATAAAAGTTGCAGGTTTTTTTACCAGCAAACCAACCATTAAACTTATAATACAAACATAAACAATATGAATATCGAAATAAACTTCAGAAACAAAGTGCTTACAACTCACATTCTAAACCTAAAAATATAATTTTTAATGCACCAATTATCATATCAAAAAATAAAGATCAAATAAACAATATTTATCAATAAAATAAACAATATCAAAAATAAAGATCAAATAAACAATATTGTTATCAAATGAACATAAACAGAACTCTTCAAAATTTATAGTTTCAATAATAAGTATAAAAACAAAATAATTATAATGACAAATACAATTTTATGCATTCAATCAGCACAAATAATATTCAATAATTTGAAAAATAACTAGAATTTTGATAATTAAATATTTACCTCAAGTCTTTATGCATTATAACATCAACATATAAAGCAGAATTCAGACCATTATGAGCATGTTTATGTAATGGAGCCACAGGAAGAAGTTCTACAGGACTTGAATTTGTAAGTAGTTTGCTATATACAGTATTAGTCATCCAAGCTAAATGAAAATAAAATTAAAAAATCAATAACAGTCAGTCATCCAAGCTAAATGAAAATAAAATTAAAAAATCAATAACAGTAAAGCATTTTTTCGCCTCTAAAAAAAATTTGGTTCATTTACATATATAACACAACTTAGCTATAAGAAATAGCAGAGCTCATTCTAGGCAGGGTAAACAGGGCGCAGCACCCTGCTGTCCTTTTAGTCAAAAGAATCCACCCTGTTGCCCCTGAAGTAAATTAGCGTCCTGATGTAATAAGACTTCATACCCTTTTTGCCCTTTCTTTCCTCAACGCTTTATTTTTTCCCCAAACTCTACAGTGGATTTCTCAAACTTTTATTTTTGACTCTTTTTATTTAGTTTGTCATTGCTGTCAATACATAGATTTATATGAGAAAGGAAAAATAGCCAACACACCCCCTTGTTGCACTTGTCTTTGAAAGTTTGCAGTTACTTCCACTATCATTAAATCATAATTATTATTAATCATTTTAATTATTAAATCATAACTACAGACACTTAAAAACATACATTTATTATTTTATTAATATATGCATGCATTTTAAATAAATTACCAAGCTAATTAGCTCAATACATATGTTAATTTATTAATGAAAATTACTAATTAATATGATTGCTTTGCTACTTTCAGTAAAGTAAAAAAAAAAAATTCTTTTACTAATTGACAATGCTTTTTAATAGAATGTGTAAAGCCCATGGAAAGAAATTATTGCCTTTTTAGAATAATAATGCCCTTTTTTTAAACTTTTGCACCCTGTCCTTTTTTTCTGCTTAGAATGAGCTCTGATATAGTAATGATACTTGAACTTCTTGTACCTAATAACATAAATGTTATGTTAAATATCTAAATGAGGAATTTCTTCATTCCACAAGGCTTTGTCATGAATTCAGTTTCAAAATGTCGAAAATAAGGGTATTTTTTTAAACATTGCATCTGGGAACTCAACGCCAGCAGAAAACTTACAAAAACTCTAATAAGACTGAGAATTGGGCACTTAAGGAGGATGAAAATTCAGGAGAATTTTCATCCTCCTTAAGTGCCCAACCAGAATGTGCACCTCCTTAAGGAACCAGAATGTGCACCAACAGTAAAATCTGCTTAAACACCAAACTGAGACCTGATCATGTTTCATGTGCCCTACCGTAATGGCTGCAATATATCAAATTGGTGATTGTCCCAAAGAGGACCTCTATGTGGACAATTGCATGCAGATAGTTGAGACTGTGCGTACCACCCACGACACTATTTAGTCGACTGTCCATGGACACGACAACCCACCAACCAATGTTTTTAATGTTGTAGTTATCCCAATAAAAAGTTTTTCCCTTAAAAAAATTTAAATTCTCGTTTCATAAGATTTCAGATTCCATGCTTCAAAAACTGTTGCGTTTATGATAACTGATTTGTTTTTCAATGGAAAATTGAGGAATCTTTCTAGTTTGTCAGTCACTATAAAAAAATTTTATTTTACCTAGTTGGACAGCAAACAAAATACACAAAAGTAAGAAAAGCTAGAGAATTTTTTTTAACACATATATGCAAAATTAAACACAAGAGCAATGTTAATAATAAATTGATGATTTCATGATAGGACTCTTAAGACAACAATAAAAACTGCTCATGTTTATATTAATTTATATAAAATATGAAACGCTGAAAAAACATTTAGGTATTGCAAAGAGAATCAAGCAATGTAAGAAAAAATTTCAGTATGCATAATAAAATTTTAGTATAAAGTAGTTGTTCAAAATGAAGATCTACTATATCTCACCTAAATCTAAATATCCTGAAAGAAATGGATCTTCTCTATCAAGAGGAGGTCCTTCCCATCTTGATTCATAAAGAAGAGTTGAATGAATTCCTAATTTATCTTCTAAATAATGAAGAATCATTTGAAAATATTCCACAGGAATACTGGGAGCAAGGTATGTCCCTGCTCTTAAAGTTATCATATTTAAAACTAGTAGTAATTTGTATATTACGGTTAGATTAAATCCCCAGTCCGTTTATTGTATTCACTTTTCTGTCTCAAAACAGCAACACTGCCGCAAGCGCGAGCACACTTTGACAGCGTGATGATTGATATTACGCAATGTTTCCTTCCCACTGATTGGTCTTATTTCCTGATTCCCCTTCTTCATTTTTAAACTAAATTTTGTTTGCAAGCTATAAGCTGAAGTATAAGCGTTTTGCATTGAAGTTTCCTTTATTATTCATTGTCTTTACAAAAGTAGGCTAACGAAAGCGTTTGAAATTCCTAAATAAACAAATCGTCATTTAATTCGTTTTAAGACTTTTCTCACATTTATATAGTAGAAATAATTTTTTTTAGAGATAATAAATAAACATGGACAGCAATCTAAGAGGTAACTTGCTTACTGTTCAATTGATGACTTTGTTAAAAGCAATCCTCCTTTAACTTAACTTTCATTGTGTCACCTCTTAATAAGTGTTTTAGTTACATGCGTAATAAATTAAATTGTGAATTATTATTTTAAAATCTGTAAAAAAGTTACTGATGAGATATTTCCGTATCCTGATCCGTCGCGTTAACTACAATAGCGAAAGTGCTAAATAGATTTTAAGTTAGCAAATTGTTTTTAAAAAAAATATGCAGATGTTTGCTCGGGGATAGCTACGAGTTATACCTTTCGAGTTTATCTTTTTCTGTGATGTTTTTTTTCTTCAGTTTCTCGCGGGCCACTGCCCAGAAGTTGCCAGGACTTGGTGATTACGAATATCTCTCCCTGATATGGAATTCTTCCTAATGCGATTGTCGATTATTTTCAATTTTATTTCATTAGCTTGAAAAGATTATAAATCATGAATAAACAATTTGAAAGCTTAAAAGGTTTCTTTCGATAGTAAGACAATAAAAGCCCATGATCAAAAGTTCACAATCTATTTTTACTTCTTATTTTTTACGTATGAAATTATGGCCCCCTAATCTCTTTATTGTATATATCCTTTCCTTTTCAGATGCATAACATTTTAAATTTTTGCTTGTTTTTCTAAATATTTATGTATATTATTATGACATATAGTAGGGGTGCACAACCTTTAGCCCGCGGTGGCATGTACAGCCCACCCACTGTTGATGTGCGGCCCCTGAGAAGTTCTGAAGTTCTAATAAAAAATTTCTTTTCATTTGGTGTTTGTTTAAACATTATAAATTTTCTTTGATTAAAATGTTCAATTCAATTTTATATCATTTTAAAATACTTATATTTTTTGCACTTTTATTCTGTAAGCTTTATTTTGGTTAGAGTTTTATATCCCCCAATATATGTATATATATATTTGATAAATTCATTATTATGAAAAATGGAAAAAAGTTCTTTTTAAAAAAAAAAGAATCAGTTTTTTTAGTTTTAAATAAATTCAAATAATGAAAAGTATTTAAATTTTTGCAAATATATGTTATTAAGTTTACTGATAAAAATGTTTAAGGCTTAGAACAGTAATGTTTATATAAAAATTATCATATATGCCGCTAACATGACGAAATATGCGGCCCTTTGTTAATCTACATGCTGTGCAAGTGGCCCTTCAATCAAAAAGGTTGTGCCCCCTAACTTATAGTAATTGATAGAACATGCTATTTTTGATGAACACTTTGTACAGAGATTAAATGTGGTTAAACATTTTTTAAATCCATTATTATTTTACTGAATAAATTATAAAAACTTTAAGACATGAAAAAGATCTCTCCAATTTTCAATCTGAAATATTTTAAAGTTTTTTAATTATATACATATATAATCATTTTAATATTTGTTATTTTTAGGGTAAAATTTTTATCTTAAATTAGAAATTTATCATGTTTTTAAATGTGCTTACTTTTTTCTTTTCAGTTACTTTTAATTATTACTACTTTTGTATGCTTTAAAATGTAAATTTTATAAAGATTAGAGTAACTACTTAAACTACTTAAAACTACTTAAAAATTAGTTAAACTGTTAACTTTAAAAATTAGTTAAACTTTACTCCAAAAAAAATGAAAAATTTTTTTAGAAAAGTTTTAATTTTTAAGTGTCAATATATAAGTTTGAAATTAAAAGAGAAGAATAACATTAATTGTAACTGTTAACATGTGTAATTAATATTTTAGATTTGATGGCAAGGCTTACCAATCAAACATCTGATAACATTAGACCTGCTTGTAAAAAATGTGGTTATCGTAAGTATTGCTTTGTTTTATTCTAACTTTGAATCTTTGTAGTTATAATTTTTTATAAACTATTTATTTAAAATTAATTATAAAATCATCATATAATCAAAATGATAACTTTATTTATAACTTCTTAACACTAGAGTAATTTGTTAATTGTTTTATTTTTGGTGGAATGAATGAGAGTTTGATACAATAAAATAATTTATTATTGGTTATAATTATAGTTTATTTTCTGAAAGTTGAAACAAATTCTTCCTTATCACTTATAAAGTTATTTTGTTTGTTAAATCAAATTATTTTTATTAAATATTTTAGTTGATATATTAACTATTACATCAAAGTTCAAAATTATTTACATTGAACTAAATTCATAGTTTTATAAAAATGAAAAGCATTTGTAATCTGATTTTTTATTATTTAAAAAACTACTCTATTTGCTATGTTATTTGAAGTTGTGAAAATGTACAAAAATTGAGAATAATGTTTGATTCTAATCACTTTCATCCGGAGAAAAAAAATGTCCAACTTTTATTTTAAAGAAGTTAGATGGATTTTTTTCTTCAATATTTTAAGTCTAGATTCATTTCATGAATTATATCTTTATTTCAAGTTTAAAACACTCAAGCTTTAGCTTTATTATTTTTCGTTGGTGAAAAAGCTTTGTTTGTGGTATTTACCTACTTCTTATTTATTTACAGCTGGTCACTTTACATATCAGTGTCGGAACTTCCTAAAAATTAATCCTAACCATGATATTGTATTAGATATCAGCAGCACTAGTTCAGAGAGTGAAGAAGAATTTGTTTCTCCACTTGTCAAGCTTAGAGGTAATGAATGTTTTTATAATATCACTTTGCTTCTCTTTTATTTTACTTTGTGTGTACATACATATATGAGGCTTTTTGAAAAGAAAAGATACTTCACTAATAGCAGTGAAAGAAAAGTGTTTGTAAGTTGGTTGGCAACACAGATTGCAACCTTGAATGTGCTGTTTTTCCCTCATGGTCATTTGCTATTTTTATGGTGAGCCTTATAGGAGGAGCACTACTTTATAATATCTGGGTCAATTCGCAACCCCGCCAAATCCTGTGTGCTAGTCCTCTCACAACACTTCAAGCCAAAGCCATAGCTGCCAATTCTCCTGGTCTAACTGGTTTAATAAAAATTCTCCTGGTTTTTGTACATGCTAAGAAAATTTCTAAAATTGAGTAAATTTCCTAAAAAACAAAAATCCTTATTGAAATAGCATTTTACACAGATTATTGCTTTCTTGTATATGTAAATATGTACGAATACACAATGAAGTGAGCCTTAATTATGAAAATCAGTTTAAAACTTTTTTTGTTCTAAAATGTTCAGCTTATTTTTATTCAGTACTCCTTAAAAATCTTTTAACTATCTTTGTTGAATTAAATGCCTATTACTATTCAAAATTATGAGTAAACCTAATACATAACATTTCAAGTTCTATTAAGGTCAATCATAACTTGAAAATATTGCAGTTTTTCTATTTTGATGACTAAAAATCTCTAAAAGTCCCTATGTGAAAAATATTTAGTACATTATGCAGCAATCATCATAAAATTTATATTATTTCGTAAAATCTACTGGATTTTTTCCTATACATGTTGGCAGCTATGTAAAGCTCAGAAGTTCCACATGGAAAATTTTAGATCATCTGCCATCCATCTCACTGTACTTTGCATCTAGCGGCTTCCACTTATTCCTCAACCTGAAAAAGCATTTTGCAGGTCAAAACTTTCCCGAGAATAATGAGATCAAAACTGAAGTTGAAGTGTAGTTCAGACAACAGGCGACAAAGTTCTATAACTCTGAAATACAATACCCTGTACCCATATTTAACTAATGTTCCGACAATGGCAGCAACTAGGTCAAAAAATTAGACATGTACCAGTAAATAATTTGTAATGAGCATTTTAACCATAAAAATATTTTCAAGGGAGTATGCGGCATCATATCTTTAATTTTCTAAAATGCCTCATAACTGCATATATATCGTAGAGTATTTATTGTTAAAGTTTCCTGTAAATCCAAGTCAATTGAAAAAATCAGTTTAGCTCCCAAATTAAGCAAGCTAATTAAGCAATTAAGCTTTTGATATAGTTGCAGTCTGTATCATTGGCAACCAACAACTGCAATTTTGGAAACTTAAAACAACCCCTCTTTTTTTATTGCAAATTCAGATTCTAAAAAAAAAAAAGTCACAGGTTTATGCATTTTAATTCACAGATAGTACTCTAATGAAGAATAAATAAAAAAAAAGTAAAAGCTGTTTAAAATGGGGCTAACTGGTGACCTATTGGATTGAAAATGAAATAAATAAAACTAAAAATGTTTTGATATTTTTTTTTTTTTCAAAAAAAATTCTAAAAAATTTATTCAACATTTTTTAAGCGTGCCTATTTTAACTTTTTAATCTGATTAAAAAGATCTCAAGATACATTGTTTTAAGCAGCTTGTGCCCTATTCAATTTTTCTCAATTTCAGTATCATTTGTGAACCAAAATGCATAAACTTACATCTCAAATAGGGTTACTTTTTTCTAAAGAACCTGAATCTGCAATGAAAAATAGGGATTCTTATTTCAGAGTTAAAAGTTGCCTTCCACCCTGCCCCAAGGTATTGGAATAAAAGATCAAGTTGGGTATCATTGGATAAATTTTAAAAAATAATGAATGTAACTCTATTCAATTTTCAATCCGAAGCTATATAAATCACTGTACACATATATGTCCTTTTTATTTTACTTTTTTTTTGTTCCTGTATTACATAGTTTATAGTTAATCCCTTAGAAGTTATATATATGCCATGTAACTATGCATCTTTTTTATTTTATTGAAATTTAATTTTTCCTCCTATTTTATTTAGCTGTTATAGACTTTAAAATTTTTCTGAAGAAGATCTTGAAGAAACATTATTTATATTAATCTTTTTAATTTTTGGGTAGATTCTTATCTGATGATAATTATTTGGTTGACTATGTGCACAGAATAAAACTTTAAATTTATTACTTTCTTAGGTATAACTTTCTTAGTTATAACTTTCTTAGTTATAACTTTCTCTGTATGGAAATTTTCCAAAATTATTTTTTTAAATATTCAACTCATTAAATAAATATTTTTTTATCTATTATTCTTTTATGCACATTTTATGTTGAAAATCTGAAATGTTCTTTGATTGTCTTTTCTATCCTTTTCTTTCTATTTATGATTAAGGCCCAGATTTTTATAACGTTTATGTTTTAGGAATATTTTATGACATTTGTATGATTTTGGAAGCATTTTATTATTTTAAACCATTTTATTTACATTTTGGGTAATTTTTTGCCTTTTAAATTTTTCATTAAATTTTCCTAAATTGTTGCTTTTTATGTTGTATTTCTGCTTAAATGTGTGAAAAAAATTGGTGCAGCTATAAAATATGTTTTACTTCCTTTTTTACTTCCTTTTGTAATGTATGCACTTTTGGAAAAGAAAATTTTTTGCTATTTATGCAGATATTTTAAAGATTATTTAGATCATCAAATCTAGGCTATTAACAATTTTTATCAAGCCTTAAATATAATAATAATTTTTTGGTTACTGTTTTTCAGAGGACCATAAATTTCAAATTTTTAGTGTAAATAATAATTATATTTACTATGTACTACTTATTTTTAAGTTTTGTTCTAAATTCTTAATATTTTTTAATAAAATTTATGAATGAATATAACCGTTCAAAAATTGAAATAAATGTGTAGGAAAGCATATTTAATTTTTCAAACAAAAGGTGCAAAAAACGGTAACCTAAACCTTAAACTAAGTTATTGGTTTTCAAATCCTGATTTTTTACTATTAATATAGAAAATTAGTCATTTTTATAGGTGAAATGTATTTTACTTTCTGTTTAATTTCATTGTCTTGCATAGTTATCAATATAATTTGTTACTTTTAAAGTACCATCTTTATATCCAATACTAGTTTCAGTAAAAGAAAATAGCTTTATATAGAATGTGGTCTTCATTTTCTATATAATTACAAAACCTTCTATAGTTGTTGATTAGTATGATTCATGATCTTAAAACTGTCATATTTTCATCTGTTTAAAACGTTTCATTATTATCCTATTATTAACGCTTTGTAATCTTTATAAAAATATTGTCTCTTATTTTTTTTTTTAAAAATCCTTAACTTTATTAAATTGTGATGTATTTTTTATTAGTCTGTTAATATTGTTAATTGTTTAGTATTAGTTTTTTTTTTCTATGTTAGCTTATGTTCAAAAGTTTTGGCTATGGTGTCGGCGTAATTTCACAGTACTGTATAATTACTGATTACTGTGTTCTGTCACTTTCAGGTTAAAATCCCTATTATCTTTAGTTTTTTTTTTCTTTTTCTAAATTTTTTGTGCTATCTTTTTTTTACCCATATGTTTAACATTTCTTGGCATTGTTGTTATTTAGTTAATATTTTTCACTATCAATGGGTATGAAGTTCTGCTTGTTTTCTATTTAATTTCAGAATCATCTATAGTTATTTCTTGTTCTTGTTTTTCAATTTTTTTTATCGTCTATATATTTAATATTTGGTGACTACTATACAAATACTGATATGTTTCTTAAAAAGCTATAATGATAAAAATTTCTATAAGTTTATATGTAGAGTGCTCCTTCTTTTCTCTTTAGTTCCATATTCTCTTATAGTATTGATTATTATAATTTGTCTTTTTTAGTTTCAAATATTTTCTTTCTCTCTTTCTCCTTTTTATTTATTTATTTTTTTGATGCTCTTCTTTGTGTTTATTATTTTTAACCATTTGTGTAAAAAAAGCTTGAAATGTGAAAGAAAGCAAGAGTTGAATTCTTTTATTCCTTTTCTCTTAAATTTTAAAAAAAGATTATTTATTATTCAAAAAAGTTCATTTGTAAAAATTTTACATGTCGGGAAGCTTTGAATGTTAATAAATACAATTGGATGAAAAAATATTATAGTAAAAACTTAAAAACAGTTAAACTAATTAAATTGAAAAACACTGTTAATTGTTGTTTTTATATATCTGTTTCATTTCCTGTTAAAATTACTTTTCTAATAGTTCTTTTTATGTGACTGTCAAACAGTTGAGAAAAAATTCCTAAAATTATGTATTGATATACTAATTCATAAAATGTGTTCAATCAAGGAAACCAAACTAATATATTCAATTAATAATTTAGTGTCAGTTACATTGAAAATTTATTTAGGATTATTACAAAAAAACATATTGCTTTTACATCCATGTTTCTTTTTTAGAAGAAGAAAAGACAATGGAATCTATGAAGAAAAGGAAAAAAAAGAAACTTTCTAAAAGTAAAAAGTAATTTGGCTATTCTTATATTTTTCTCTTTGTTTGTATGTAAAAAGAAGATTTATTTTTTAAGCATTGGAAATGTAATATTAATATCATTTTTATATTATTTCATGTATTAAATTCAAAGCTATCCATTTTAAAATTTATGGTGCTATTTAAAGTTTTAACTAATAGTTAATGTAACACAAAGCAAACAGTATCAACTCTTTAGATCTTTATTAAGATATAAGTCTAATTTATGACAGTATTACTTAAGTTCCTAGAAAAAAAAATTTTGATAATTATAAAAAAAAATTTAATTTTGTGAAGCACAAACTTATAGTTTCCTTTTTTATTTTAAAGTAATTAAAACTTCTTTTATGCTTTGCTACAAATGCACCATGCCGTATTGCCTAGCTAGGTTTATATAGGCACCGATTACCCTACATAAGTTGAAAATTTTGAGAGTTCCTCTTGAAATTAAAGTTGACTTTAACAGAGTTCTTTCTAACTTACAGAAATGTATCTATACATTATTTATAATTACTCGCTTTTGGCGATTAGCTTGGTCGCTACCAATAATTGGTATGCCATGGTTTATATTTAAAATTTCTACATCTATTTTAGAAAGGATCATAAATAAATCTAAATAATTGCTTTGTAACTAAGTTTTTATTTCTATAGAAATACAAAATTATTCTAAATAAATACTCAACGTGTAACTAACTATTCTACACTGCTTAAATTCTTACGTACAACAACCTAACAAAATGAATAATAACTATATTATTGCCAATGGATAGAGAAAAACCTGAGTTTATAGTATCATATATACGGAATATATTGAAAGATTATAGAATACTGTAAACAATTAGCACATAAAAGTAACCATAAAAAATTACTTTAATATTTAAACTACCTTAGATGTAGAAACGAAAATCATGAAAACCATTTATTGCCAAAATAGGAGTACTTGGGGAAAATTGATATTCAATCTTTTATATTTTTAGATTCATTCCATTTATGTTTCTCGTACTGTATTTATCTGACAATAAGTAAATTTCTAAATAAAGAAAGTACTCCAGCTTATATTGAGATGTACTTATATTCAAAAACATATTATGTTCAATGTTTACAAGTCAAATTTTGTCTATCATTGCAAATTAATATTTAAGGGAGAAGAAAAAGCATTATTAAAGCCAGAAAAATTATTGACAGTAAAGACAAGACAAAAATCATCAAAACTGGTTGCCAGCAAAAACTGAGGAATAATTGAAAGACATTCAATTATTCCTTCAATCGAAATCATTTTGATGGTTCTATCTTCAATAGTGATTTTTCAGATTTTCTATCTTTACTTAATGACTACTTGTAAACTTAAAGGTTTTATATTTTCTGTTCTTAGTTTTTAACAAGGATTCTTAATATATATATTAAAATTAGAAATCACGTAACACCCTGTATTTATTCCTTGTCAAATTTCTGAGTTCTAATAAACTTTTCCTTTGTCTTCAGTTAGAGGTAATAGAATTTATGGCATAAAAAATTTTACGATTTATAATTGTGATTAGAACAATTTTCTCTTGATCCATTTCAGATCTCATAAATCGAACAAATCACCTGAAAATTATTCTTCTGGTGATGAAAAACTGAAAGAGTCTCATAAGCATGGATATAAGCGAAAACATAAAAGCGATTCGCCTGAGTTCGAAAGTGATAGTGATTTCAGCAATGCAAGCCAAAATCTGAAGAAAAGAAAGTCCAAAAAGCATCACTCCAAAGACAAAAGGGAAAAAATTATTGATTCTGATGACGATGAATCTTTTAGGCAGCACAAGAAAAAGAAGTCTAAAAAGAAGCATAAGAGTAAAAAAGACTGATCAGAAACTGTGGAGTACCTGATAAATAATGTCATTTGTATCATTTTTTACCTGTAATAAAGCATATCTTTTTTTTATAATCTTCATAATAAATAGCATTTATAAGCATGGATATAAAAGTATACTTCAAAGCAATTCATCTGAGTCTGAAAGTAATGATTAATAATAATGCAAAATTCTGAAAACAAGAAAATCTTAAAATCACAAAATCACACTTTCTGTGAACAAAAGAAGATAATTAAGGAATCTTCTTTCAGACAATACAAAAAAAGAAATCAAAGGAGAAGCTTCTATTAAATTTTATTATGAAGTTAATGATTCCTTTTTCTGACGATACAAGAAAAAGAAATCTAAGAAGAATCTTAAGGTAAAAATGATTCTTATATTAATGAATTTTCTTTTGACCATACAAATAAAAGAAATCTAAGAAAAGACTTTAGTTAAAAAACAACAACTTTAGAATCCATGAAATACTGGGAAAATAAATAACTTGTGTTATGTTCCTACCTTTAAAAAATATGTTCCATTTTTAATTTTTATAATACTCTCTTTTAAATAAAGCTAAGTGTATGTTTGTTACATCTTTTCTTTCTTTTATGGCAACATATGTTTTTTTTTTATGAAATAGATGCTAATTCTTGATTATTTAAAGTAGTATGGAAAGTCATATATATATTGACTTCTGATACTGTTTCAACTTTAAAAACAACAATTGATAAATCTGTGGAAATTGAAGGGATAAGATGTATTTGACAATGAAAGGTGCTTATTGTTGAGACCACCAACATATGTTGGTGGGTTTGATAATGAGCACCTGCTTTAAGCACTCCAAAAATTTCGCCATTTTAAACCTCAATTTTTGAGGCTAATGAAGTTTTTTCATTGGCAAGGAATAAGGAATGTTTGAAGGAAATTGATAGTTGTAAGTTGCTGTTGATTTTGTTTTATTTGTCAGCAAATTTCAACTTACCTTTTACTAGTGTTGTAAATTTTAATCAGCATATTGATTTATATTTGAAGCAGCGCAACTGGTTTTAGTCTGAAAATAATCTTAATAATTGTTAAATAATCAAATTGGAATGGTACATGCTTTATCGTAGGAAGTGTAAGCAAACAGGATTTATTTTCAAGAGTTAGTATATTTTAAAGTAATAAAATTAGTAATTTAGAGAATAACTGAATTTAATTTTTTTTACCTTTGAATTTTGTAGAAGTCACATGAAGTTGGTTCTAATGACATTATGATGAAAAAACCAAAACAATTTGTTTTTAAAATTTTATTAGTTAGTTTATATTAAATCAATGATTGATCATTGCCCAACATATACCAAATTGTATGAAATATAATACAAAAAAGTGAAAATTAAGTGGTGGTGTATTATTGAGGTGAATGAAAAATTAAATAACATAATCAACAGTGGTGAACATCTGCCCTGTTGTATGTAAAATGCCAAGAATTTGAAAGAACATCATACAATATCATTAACCACTAAAATTGCAATATTCTTTGTTAACAATTAAAGGCTATAAATTTCTTATTAACTGGATATTATATTGATTATGGCCAAACAAAATATTACCATTCAGTTGAAACAGTTATAATGAACAACAAGGCAAATAATCATTAATCAAAAACCGATCTCATTTTCCACTAACTCCGCTTATTTCTCGGCTTTTGCTGCATCTTTATTCGTTAAAAAAATGTCATGCATTCTATTAGACTAATGAATCTGAAAAAACTTTCTTGCTATTCATTTTTTTTAGATACTTATTATAAAAGTGCACTTCTTTCATTTATGTTAAAATCCTAAGCAGATACTTTTTTATTTCTTGAACTAAATTTCTGGATTTTACACTTGAGTATTGCAGTTCCCCACATAGCTTTAATCTGAATAGAACATATACCTAACAGTCCTCCATTTATTACTCTAATAGCCTGATTTGTTTCAGAGAATTTGCAGTCAAACCAGACAGTAGTGAATGCTTATTATTAATAGCCTTATAAAAGGATTAATGCAATAAGCTTCCACAAATTCAATCCATTCTTAGCACATTCTCCAAATTAGCCTAAAGACATATAGACCCATTGTAAGAAGCCTAAAGAATATCAAGAAAATTAGAAACTATTGTAGAATTTTCAAATTAGCTTGGGGCATATCAAAATGTGGGAGACTTTTGCAAAGAGCAGTTGTTTTTTCCCCTCAATTAGTCTACTACTTAATCACCACTCCACTTCTGAAAAGAGGTTTACTGGCAAAATATCTGATAATTGGTCCCGCCTGTTTCTTTCGCAACATTCAAAATTTCTATACATATATATTATACATTGCCTTTTTTTTTATCGTTTCTTAAATGTCCATAAAATCTTTTAATTTATAAAAATATTAACAATATCAAGCTCATTTTTACAGATGGGGATGGTTATGTCCAATTGTCATGGTTTGGTGCTTACAAACATTTGTTTTCATAACAAAATAACATTTCTGTTTCCGAAATAATCTGAACTCTTGCAAAGATGTTTTCTAACTTTCATCAATATCAGAACTGAATTCGTAGTAAGAATCCTTGGAGGGTACATTTTTCGAATAAGTCCCGGGTCCACGTCTTCTGAAGCGTTCTATTTCAAAAACACCACCGTGGAGTATTAGAAACTTATTCCTCTTAACCCTGTCAGAATCTAGTTCATCCCCTTTCAACAGAGACAAATAGTTCTCGCTGATTTTTTTCTTAGTGTCAAACTCGGCAAGGTTCACTCGATCGGGATTGAATTTAAATATTTTGGGATAATTCCTGGATTTGTTGAGGGTCATACTCTTCAGAGACCTGGGTTTGTCCTTTGGCTCACTCTGGTCCTGTTTGGTCACTTTTGTTCTAGTTCCACTGGAGGCTGGCCTGGGTGGGCGCCTCAAAGGCCTTCTACCTCCGGGTACAGATCTTACAGTGGATCTAGCTCCGCCCCCTGGTAAACCATCCGGGAATGCCTCCCGGACGTAATCTGGAAACTGGAAAGGTGGTTCTTGAGTAGTTGTTTTAGAAATCCGAAATATTTCTCCGAATTCTGGAAAGTACGGCATTCCAGGATAACTATCGTAAAAATTGCCATATTCCGAAAAGGTGTCATAAGGTCCTACGTCAGATGAATAGAAATTAGTTGATTCCAGAGCATCGTCAGTCCTCGCATTAAGACTGTTCTTAGAACTGGAATTCAAAGTGTGGTCACTCTTGTCCGCATGATTTTTCTTCTCAACAATGGACAGTGATTTACAGGTGGTTAAAATGAAGATGAGGATCTGAAATGAAAGAAGATAACATTAATCAGTATGAAACTAACAAACAAGAGAGTTTCTACAGATATTATAGTATATAAATTTGAAAAAGTGGTGACAGAAATAAAACAAAAGTCGATATTATATTAGATTTGTGACCAATCTAAGCTGCTACTGCTACGGAATTTCCGTACTTTCCTTCCCAAAGGTAATGACTTAATTTTTTTTAAAAAATAGATTTAACAAGATTTGACTATTCATAAATAGTTTAAACAGACATATTAAAATAAATACGTACCTTATAAATTGAATAAATATCTTATAAATTAAATAAATACCTTATAAATTGAATATACTAAACCAACAATCATTATTTAAAAGACTACTCAAAAATATTTATCCGCTCTAAGGAGCGAATTGGCATCTCTGTGTCTAAGCCTATTTAAAGAGAAAATTCATAACTAATATGAAGAAAACAAAATAAATTTCGTCGAATACTTAGTTACCATTTTCTTTAAAGGCATTGTCCTGATTTCTCATAACAGTACTGCGCCTGTAAATTTACTAATATGAAACGTTTAAACAAACTATTAATTCCTCTATATGTAATAAATTATACAATTTCCTCTGAAACTACGTTATTTGATGACCAAAATAATCCTGTACTTTTTTTTCATACTGCTAACAAAATCTATTCCTAATGGATAAATATTGCTAAGTGAATCTTCTGTTGAATGCGTAACCTTCATGCTCTTCGGATTTCAGTCACACTTCAGAAGGTTTTGATTATTTCTATTCAAAAGTGGAGAAAAGAAGATAGGCTTTTTAGAAATGGAAAGAAAAAAAAAAAGACGATTTTCACAGGAAGAAGAAGATTTCATCACGAAATCTTCCTCGTGGCATCATTCGCTTGCATGATGACTGCTTCAATTAAAATCTAAATTGCCGACTTTACGTCAATATGATGGACAGGTTGATAAAAACGATCATCCCTCACCCCATTTAACAAAGAAATATAAATATTAAATTCGAATTTTTTTTTTCTATCATCATTCGAAATTATTAAAATAATTTCCGGGGTTGTTGAATATCAAATTGACCATCATCATAATTTTCTGCATAAGTAAAAGATATTTCATAAAATTATGTCTATCAGGTTTTCTTTTTAACCCCATTAGCACAATGCTGCCAGCATTAGTACTTTTTAAGGAACTTTCTTCGGTGAAGTTCTTTGATACTGTCCTACAATAATGGAAGACATTTTTCAGTTTTTGACATTTTTGTCAATTTCTCAAGAAATACTCAAAAGAATGTTTTATAAATTTCGAATTGTTTAGTTCACGCGATTTTTCAAACTTAGCTATAAGATTTATAGCTTGTAACTTGTATCGATTACTTTTGTTTTTATTTGTAATTACTGCATAAAATTTCGTAAGCCTAGCTTAAATATTTAAAGAGATAGAGACATTTTTATAAAAAAAAATAAGAAAAGCTAATTTTTTGTCTTACGTCTTTTTTGCTAAAATTTTAAAATTATATATTCCATAAAATTAAAAAGAAAAATTTTTTAAACTTTTGTTTTAAAATTTGAAAAAAGTTTGCTTACAACTATGCAAGATATGAGTATTTACAATCGTTCTTTTGTATAGTGCATGCGTTTAAAAAATTTTAATTTTTTTTATTTTACTTTATTTGTTTATTTTATTTTAATTTTGCAGTGAATCAGATTTGGCAATTAATGAAAAAAGTCTTATTGGAATACTTTAAAAACGTAAAAAGTTTCGATTAATTTTTTATGTAGTTTTGTACTTTATAAAATAAAGCTCAAAATTATCAGAGGTTTTCCACAAATTCTATTTTGTAGTATTTCAAATGACTACCTTATAACAGGACAGTAAGAAGAAAATAAAATTTGCGCAAATTATGAGAAGTCGCATGAACTAAACAACTCTAAATTTTTTTTTCCAGCTCATTTTTTAAGGTTGAAAATTATTTACTTTGAAATGGTTTTGCAAACATAATTACGTATAACAATATATTATGATATATATTATGACAATATATATATATATAGATGGTATAGTGTATTAAAACGTTTATATATTAACTCAATGTAAAAGAATGTCCTTTTATCAGCAAATGTCTTGGAAGATTTTACATGACAAAATTGTTGGCACAATTTGAAAAAGCATCTTTAAAGCTTTTAGAAATAATATCATTTTAACCTTCCAGAGTTCGGATCGATCAAAATGAGGAGAGTAAGTTAATGACTTTTTTCTAGCTTTAATACCAACGATTTTGAAATCATTCTACTAGATTGCATTATTCATACAAGAATACTTTTATAATTAATGTAGTATTGAAAAGGAAATAAGCTTTTATCTTCCTACGCGCTCATTTTAGTCAATGCAAATTTTGCGTAGGTAAAAAAGACATCATTTCTAAATGCTTCAAATGCGTGCCAACAGTTTTTCCACGCAAAATCTCAAAACATTTGCAGCTAAAAAAAAAAAAGTTACATATAGCTATATAGAAATGTTTCCTGTAACCTATGTAAAAAAAAAAAAAGATATATATATATATATATCTTCATATAAGGCAAAATCTGGTTAGTTCCATCGAAAAGTCTCCCACATGGCTAGTTTGTCCCAATGCTTGTTCCAGGAGTTTCCTTGCCTTCTAAATTAAGTTCAAAATTACAAAGTCACGGCTTTGATCATTGATAGTTGTAGCCTCAAAATTAGGTTGGCTGTTCAACACTGGTATATAAAATAAAAGTAAATTTTTGAGAAGGCTATTGGAATGTGTGTGAATTGTATTCTAATTAATATTAACTTTAATTGTATTAATTAATTTCACTTTAATTAAAATTTTGTGCTCCACAAAAGATTTAGATATTTACTATCGACAAATATTGATTATAAACAATTAAATATTGACCCCATTTTTTTTTCATTTTTCATAGTAAATCAAACTTAGATAATATTTCTTTATCACAGCAAACCTTGTAGGCTTGTAGTGACCAAGATTTATATTCTGATAAAACTATTGATAAACCAGTAACTATTACAGCCAATAATTATCAGAGGTTATGTTTCGGAAAAATCTCTCTCATATACCAAATTTTAAAAAAAATTGGGTAGCTATCTAAGCAAACAAAATAAATTTTTTTGAAAATGCTTATCACCATTTTTCATTTTAAGAGCTTTGTCCATTTATCACAGGCCGAAATTATTGCCTTGTAATAAAAGTCTTCATTTAATGCTTCAAGATTTGGCCGATTCCTTCTAATAATTTTCTCAAAGACTGTGTATTGGTTGTTTTCCTAACTTATTTATATTCCTTGTAATGAATTCAATTATACTAAAATAATTATCTATTAAAAAAAATTTTTTTTTTAATTCAGTAGTTTAAAATATTTTTAAATATTTTAATTTCTTTTTCTAACTTTATATAGTTAGGCATTGATCCTTAAAAAGAGATATTAAATTAAAAGTGACTTTAAATTTTCTCAATTTTTGCGATTGTTTTTTTTTTACCAAATTATTCCTACATTTTAAGCGGCATTTTTTTTTCTTCTTTTAATTTTTGTCACGTAATATGTATTTAGAGTGATATTTATTTCACACCTTATTATCTTTTTACTACTGTTTGTCACACACGTGATTATTTTTAAGATTGCTTACTTTTACTTTTAAAAGCGTATTATTCCAATATGTTTTTTGTATCTGTCTTTTGTTTTTATATTTTTCCACGTGTGTTTGTTCCGACAGGAGTTAATCGTTTCGTGCCTATTGTTATTCTTTCTTAATGAATTTTATACATATTTTTTATAAAAAAAAATTTTTTTTTAGATATTTGCTTTTTTCGTGTTAATTTTTCACGTAATAAATTTTTTTTCGTGATTTTTATCGTATTTCGTTTTAAGGTTATTTATTTTTGATTATATTTACATATTATTTATCTAAAGTCTTTTTTTTTTAATAAATCTATGCTTTTAATTTGATTTTATGTTTTTCTACATTTTTTTTCGAGAATTTATGTGATTTGTACATCTGATTAAGTGTATTGTTGTTTTTTACTAATATATTTTAAGCACAATTTTTTTTCCGTTGTTTTTTTTTTTTTTTTTTTTTTTTTTTTTTTTTTTTTTTTTTTTTTTTNCAATTTCATGACCTTTCTTTTTCTTTTTTTATTATACGCAATTTCTCGGGGTGTTTTTTTTACTCGAAATTTTGACCAGGGCATGAAATTTCAGTTCTAAAGGTACTAGTCAGACTAAAATTTTGGTCGCTACTATTTTCACAAAAAATATGAACTATTTTCAAAATATTAACGCATGAAAACCATTTTGGTGTCCAAAACAATAAGAGAAATGTAGAAATTGAAAACATATTTATTGCATAGTAATAATAAAATTTAACTTAAAATAAGGTTTCCGCGAGGTCTCAACAATTTCAAAATCATTCACATATCATTAAAAATCATAAAAATAAGAAAAATAATCGAAAATAAATATACCTGAATTACCATGTGCCAATTGCAGCCCAAGCGTCAAACTCTTAACCTAGTGTAACTCTCTGACTCAGTTGTTTTTGAGTCAAACTCTGTTATACTACAGTTAAACTGTTACACTTGAATCAAACTCTCTTACTCGCTAGGCCTAAGTATTCTGCCGTCAATGGCAAGCTGAAATTTCGAGTCCTGATTTATGCTTTTGTTTATAGCACAATAATATTAGCATTTTTACTATCATTTTTCAGGCATGTTTGATGGTTCGATAACTTGCAACAATTAGCAAATTAATGGATGCATCGGTTAAAAAGCGAATCAGTGATTCACCGTATCAGTAGCGGAGGGAATCATTGAGTTAATCAATTTATGAAAAAATCAGTTATTGACGGTATTGTTAATCAGGACTGCCAACTACAACTTAATAGATAGGTAGACATTTAATTTAAGAACTAAAGTTTTCAGGGTTTAGGTTAATTTTGCAAATATATCAAAAGTTTAACCAAGTGAGG